CCGCCCCCGAGACATGGGCATCCCCTCTTATTTTAAGACTCAGGTAATTAACTCAAGGCCACTACAAATGCAGCTCAGTGGATTTCGCTTTCCCATTTCATTAGCTTAGGGGGAGGCTCAGCCCCTGGTTTGGTTTCAACTCTCTCGACCTCTTGACCCCTTTCTTTCATTTCTGGGTCTTGACCAAGGAAATGGGCCACTCAGAAGGGGGCTTCTTTGAACTCCAAAGCTGACAGCTGAGGGCGTCCCCACAGAGGCGGGAACTTTCTTCACCTCCCATGTTTTCTTCCTCGATTTGCTCCCTTCTGCCTGATTCCTTCCTGACTCTGACTTCCTCATCCCAGTACTAGAGCACTTACCACTTCTAAATTCTCACGTGTCTTTAAGCATTTCTTGCCCCTTCTCCCCACCGCAATGACTTGTGGGTTTTCCTTCTCCGCTGCCCTTGTCACATCACCCTCACCAGGCTTTTGACTATGCTTCAAATCCTGGGATTTTCGTGGTGCTTCATAGGTACCCTCTAGATACTATGTCTTCAAAAATGCGCCCTTTCTTGTAACTTCTCTCAAGCGATGCAATTTTACCTTTTCCCTCCTTCTCACTCTTTCGCCTCTCTTGGTCTGTGGGCCTCACCCTCTGCTTCTGATCCTGCACCGTCTCTCTCCATGTGAGAGCGGACCTTCATTTCCAGGGGATTCTCCACTTACTTCTAATTGTGTCTTTCAAATCTGTCCCCCACCCACTCTCCCCCATTCTCCATTGGTCAGGTTCTCTGGCTAAAACCAACCCCATCAGTACCTGAGAATTACCTGGCCTCTCCTCCTGTCCTCCACAGACAGAGGACACGGTTGTCGCCCCTGTTGCATTAGAAAGAAAAGCTCATGAGAAAGTGGCCAGCCTGCGGGATAGATGCTATTTTCATTTTAAGACTGCTAGGGATTGTAGTTCTTAAAAAATACCAGAGTTACCTCTGTTTTTTGAACTGAGTTTTCACCCCAGAAGAGTCAGGGGAAAAAAAAAAAAAAAATCAAAGGAGAAAAACAGAGTCTTTTTATTAAGGTGCCAGTAAGTTATACCCACTCCTGGTTAAATGGGAAAATGCATAGAGAAAAATGGCCAGGCGTAAATAAATCAACCCCAAAAGTGCGCACAAGCAGCCCATTTATTCATCTAATTCTGGAGTTTTAGAAACTAACATTTGTTAGTTTCCACGAACAAATGAAAGTACATTCCAGAGATTTCTGGAACTTTGACATAGCTACTTAAAGGCTACAAGAATTCAGATTGGTTCAACAAGTGTTTTCTGAGCTCCTACTATGTGCCCCACACTATACCAGGTGTTGGTAATAGCAAGATTTAAAAAAAACAAAACCAAAAAAGACCCACCCAAGCTCTGTCATTGAAGAGCTCACTGTCTAATAAAGTGATAAAGAGGTTTCCTCTCTCCTGCCAGCTCAGACTCCTGGTTTCAGCTCATAGGGTACAGTATTGAGAAAGATTCTGAGGCCTGGACTCGGTCTGGTGGGCCATCCATTAGTGATGTCTGCCATGGGTATAGAATAGAAGCATACATATCCATGTATTTTGACATACCTGGCCTAGTCAGAATCATTTCAGTTTTTTTAAAGAGCACCTAACTTTTTCTACTCCATTATGCTCTTGTCCTCCCAACCTGCAATTGCATTTTGGTGGAAGATACCTGTGTCAAGAGGGTTTTTAATCAGTCGAGACCCTTTGGACAAGAACAAGGTGCCGTTAGAAAGTGCGAGTACAATTTCAGCCCTATCCCCGCCATGCAAACAAGGATGTTTCCATTAAGAAAAACTTAGAGATGGCTGAGAGAAACAGGGAGGTCATCCAGGTCCTCCAGCTGAATGGACGTCAAATGTATAAGCACTGGCTGGCTTGTAGGGACCACATTATTTAACCCTGTCTCCTGAATGACCAGCACCCCTTTCCTGTTTAAAGAGAAATGCAACCTGCAGGCCTTAGCTGCCTTGTCCGAAGGCATGTACAGATCGGGTGTGCTACCACGACCACGGCTGTGGTCCGCACAGCTGCCACGGCAGCAACATGTGTGTCTGGCGAGGGTTAGGGTTTAATCCTTGGATTCTGCTTCTCACTCCATGAGCAGGGGCTAGGAGCGATCCCGAACTGCAGCCTCAACCCTGGGAGGGATGGAGACCTGTGTCATTCAACAGCAGTGACCCCTTCTGGCCAATTTAAGGAGAAGCATTGAGGGGCCCTGAAAGGAGTCACTTCCAGTCCTCCTCAGAGGTTGGTGGTCCTTGCACGGGGGATTAGTGAGAAGATGTGACACGGGCAAGAGCTGGTGGCACCTCCAGGCCCCTGGCGAGGAGCGGAGGTCTGCTTCCTGGGGAGTTGAGACCATATGGGTTACTCTCAGATGGACCAATATCGCCTCCTGTGGGACACACGAGACAGCAGGGACGGGAAGGAAATGCATCTCTCACTACCAATGTTGAATGTTGGGGGGGGACTTTTAAAGATGTGGGGCGTGTGGGGAAAACGGTGCCAACATCCCCTAGTTAGAGGGAGCCCAGAATGTATGTTATGTCTCCACTCATTTTGTGTGAGGATAACAAACCAAGCCCTCCTGAGCAGAGAACCCCTATCCTAGCCCAGAGATTTAGAAGAGCCAGGTAGAGCGGCGTTCGTAACTGTGTAAGTGGCCTCAGGTATCTACGTGCATATGAAATCCTTAGCACACATCTCTTTTGTAACTTGCCATCTATTAATCACTCACGCATGCACACATACGTGTACACACACACACGCACAAGCATGATTATGCATCTGGCTAAGGATACGTTTTATAATCAGTAAGGCAAATGTGGCATCTCTCTGAAATTTAGGATGCTCCAAAATATCCATGCCTGGGCACCGTTTCCAGCCGTTCCTGGAACAAAGATATACCAAACATATTATGAGCCCGTATAAGCCCCATTTGAAGTGATGTAAATCACCATTTTCATAGTACTTTTCTGGAATGACTGTTATTTTCTGATACAATGAAGGCATCTGACGTGTTGAGAACGTCTCTGCTAGTATCACGCTTAAATTGGCTTCTTCTGTTTCCAAATTATGCTTAACCTCCCATTCTCCCAGCCTCTCTCGATGACCTTGGACTCACAGTACTAATGCAGACCCACGTGTCGCTTCTAACATTCTTCTCCTGCCCCATGACACCTCATGCATGTGTTTCCCCAGCCCTGCAAAGTGTGCTACACACAGGTCATTTGGTGGAATTAACCCTCGTGTCGTCCTCCACCCCATCTTAACCTGGTCTTCCCGCCTGCCTTTGTTCCTGATCGTAAGTGCGGTCTCCTAATTGCCCACAATGAAGTAACACTTTTTTATCCCCAACACCCCAATGGGTCAGGTGGAGGCCACATTCCATTTAAAATCCTGTCAGCATTCTTGCCACTCGGAGTCTGTGTCTATTTTGCATCTCACTTTAAGAGTCCTCATGAGTCTCTTACATGTCAGTGTCACGTCTGGCTCTTCGTGGCACCATAAGTACATTCTTGGAAACACACAACTGAATATCCTGCCAGTACCTCGATTGCTGAGTCTTCCCAGGTCATATTTTAGGCATTTGCTTCATCTGGGGCATTTCTCTTTAACATCACTGTTATCAATTCACAAGAGTGATTAGTCTGAAAACACAGCGTGAAACCTATTGATTATCTCGCCTCTAATTCAAGGAGAATCGATCAGTCAAACAAACAACGTTTTCCATTCCAAAACAAATCCGGTGGTCACTAAGGGATTTGTTCAACTGGCACCTTCAAAATTCTAGAAGGACCCTGGCGGGGCCGCTGGACACTCTCCTGACCACAGGCAGTATTCCACTAATATACTGCTCCAGGAAAGCCTCTCTTGCCCCAGTGAAAAGAATGTCTACCCAGCTGTCAAGGCAAATTAGCCTCCCTATCAGAAAATGCATACTTACGTCTCCAAAAGCATATGGCCAGCCCTGATTTTCCAGCCTCAGTGGAGGCTGATGGCAGTCGGGCACTCTTAAGTAGACTATTGCTCAGAGCCCGCCCAGCAGGATCCACCTGACAGGTGTCCTGTTCCATGCCCATGTCGCCCATCAACCCCATAGGGTCCCCTTGGGACAGAGGCCAGAGCTGTGCCCTGTGTATGCGCCCTTCTCCCCTGTCCCCGTGCTTCTGCAGCGGTGGCCTCCACAGAGCTCCCAGCTACAGTAGGTGGCTTCCTTGTTTGCATGGAAGGACAATTTGTACTTAAAGGAGTGATGAGATGGATTCTTCTTGCATGCTTCCATTTCTGATGACTACTGGCTTCATCATTGTAATTACAATTAGTGCTCTTCAACTTCCTTTTATGGCACCGGCTGGACAGACTGGCTCTCTTTACTGCCCAGATTGGTGGTGGGGTTGCCTGTGTGGGGATAGGTGACAGGCACCATGGAATAACAGATGGTAAATTCAGGGCTTGTTGGCAATCAGCAGGTTTTTGCTAATGACTTAATTAGCTATGCAAATTGTCAAATCAGTGTGAACATTGTTTTTATCGAAAACTTTACCTAAATTAATTACCATAATTAAGTAGCAGAATGTCAAGGATATCGGCTGCATAAAAGGGCCTGGCTGAGTAGAGAAAAGAGAGATCTGTCTTCAATTAAAATGTATACCATCCTTGGGACAGAGAAAATGCCATTTGGAATGAGTTGCATGACTGTTGCAGAACTGCCTCCTCCCCGTGTTGGCTGCTAGTTTCCAAAGCCATCCAGAGGCCCTAAATAAAAGTGGTGGATTTTTGGAGGTCTTGCAAAGCACCCAGCAGAAGGTTCCACAGCCCTCTCAAGAGTCCCCAGTGTCGGCAAGTTGAAAAGCGTGGATTTTTTTAATTTTGAAAAATCCATTTTTTTATTTCTGCAGATTGCTAGCATTGCTCGTTCTCCGGTGTCAGGCTGCGCACTAAGGACATAAACTCGCGTGGTTGTTACACATCAGGAGGCGATGTTTATTTCCTGTAGAAAAATCCAATATGCATCTTGGCCCCCCGACATTGAGACTTGACCCCGGTGTACAGGACAGGAGTGTGTCTGTCCTAGATCCCCCAGCGCCTCCCACTAGTGTTTTAAGCTGAGCTTCTCTCTCCCAAGGTTTCCCTGTAATAATGTCAGCTGCTGTTCACAGGATGTGATGGTGGTAGGAGAGCCAACTCTGATGGGAGGTGAGTTTGGGGACGAGGACGAAAGGCTAATCACTAGATTAGAAAACACGCAGTATGATGCGGCCAACGGCATGGACGACGAGGAAGACTTCACCAGTTCACCCGCCCTGGGGAACAGCAGCCCATGGAACAGTAAACCTCCCGCCACTCAAGAGACCAAATCAGAAAACCCCCCACCCCAAGCTTCCCAGTAAGATTGACCAGCTCCAGAATCCACTGTCAATAGCCACCGTGGGTTACGCTCACTATTTCAGATCCTTACTCACAAGAGAGGAAGGAGGAGACATTAAAACTTTTCCAAGCAAACAGCGATTTCTAAACCACAGTGATCTGAGTTTCTCTCTTTCTTTTTTTTAATTGAGAGGATCATTCCCAGTAAACTTCCATGACCCCTCCCTGGAGGCCTTCACAGGTAACACAGATACTGGCACTGATCGTAATTAAAGTAAGAGCAAACGCTAGGGCTTCTCCTGGCTCGGTTTTAACCACGTTTGTTAATTTCATCCCCGCCCCTCGCCCCACCCAACCATCCAACGAAGGCCGTATTGTCAATAAACCCTCAGTGCTCAGGATCTCATTCTCTGCCGAGCCCAACTACAGATAGACTTTTTAATATTGTAAAATATTTTCTGCTTTTTGACTTGCATCTGAGAGTTTCTTGTTTCAGTAAAAAAAGAAAAGAAAAAAAATCCACTTTGGGAAAGTAATTTAAATGTACCTTTATTTTTTTTTCCCCTTCACCTTTTCTTTCATTGGGTAACAGCTAAGAGGGCCCAGCAGGGTAATTTATGGCCGAGCTAATGTCAATTGGTCCTCGAGCCTGAGTTTGTTCAATCGAGCCCGAGTGCTGAAACAAGAAACGTCTTTTTGTCATCAAAGACACCAAGGCAGATTTTTATGTAAAGAAAGGCACTTGGCCCCCTGAGAATGTATGCGTTTGTAAAATTTTCTGTTGATCCAAATACTTTCAAGCCATGTAATCCATTAATTTTGTGGGCAGTTTAATAAATCTGAAACTCTTTTGTGTTTTGTTTTTTTTTTGTATCTGAGTTGACTGTTGTTTCTTTTCATAGTATATTTCCTGTATAATATTTTGTAAAGCCCTAACCTAGTTCTTTTATGGGGACTTTTCTTTGGGAGCAATTCCAGTGTATTTATGTGAAACTTTATAAAAGAACTAATTTTTCCATTTGCATATTAATATGTTCCTCTATACATGTAAAGACACAGTGGCTCCGTGTGTTATAAAACAGCTGTATTTTATGTATGCTTTACTGATAAGTGTGCCAATAATAAACTGTTAACGACCAAAGCAAGTGAGTCTGGGTGTTTGTGAGCCCGGCAGAGAAATCTGCCCACAATGATGAGAAGTATTGAGCTTGGATTTACGGCCCAAGCTCCAGATGGAATGGAATTGTGAAAACTGCACCATCTTTATAAGGTATGGTTTCTTTCCCCGCTCACTGCAGTTTACTTGGGCAGACACAGGGGTGCCTTCCCTGTGCCAGGCACTCTGCTGGCTGAGGACACAAGGATGGGAAAGGAAGGGTTGACCTGGCTTCCTGGGGCTGGCCAAATGCAAGGGCAGCGGCTTCCACTCACTGAGTGCTTATTCTGTACCAAACATCTCTATTTAAGGTCCACAGACATTTCGGCTAATCTTCACAACTCTGCCAAGTAAGCCTTAATCTCCCCATTTTTAAAAATCAGTTCCTCGGTTTGCCTGTTTTTCTAAAAGATTTGCAATACAGAGATATGGAAAATTCACGGGAGGACTTTTTGTTTAAAGAACTTTCATCATATTTTTCTGCTTTGTATCCACGAGGAAGATGAGAGAGGAAATCTGTTAGTATTAACTGAGTGTGTACGAAGTGCCAGGCCATAGTAATATATCATCTCAGCCAGTTCTGGAAAAGGGGGGCTTGAAAAAGAGAAACTAAGGGAGAGTGTGTGTCTTAGGTTGAGATTCCCAGAAGGAGAGCCTGAGACCAGGATCCCGGGCACGGATTAATTGAGGGAGAGTTCTTCAGTAAAGAAATTTTTAAGGGAGTGGAGGGGGTAGGATAGGGAAAGGGGAAGAGCCTAGGAAAGCTTCAGACTGGTGCATGGTGCAGGGGAAGGCTTTGAGCAGAGTTATCCGCTCCTGGGCTGAGCCGCCCGACTTCTGTGCACCTATACTGGTCAGTCATCGGCTGGGGCCAACCCCAGGGTGTGTAGAAAGTGGTAACCTTTACAGAAATACGGCACCCATCAACCAAGGGCTGTTCTGCAGAAAAGAGGCCAACTAGAATGTGACAGTCCTAGAATCTTTGCATGGGTGGACTGGTCTCAGAAAGGGCTTCTGGGCAGGGCAGCAACAGTCAGCTTCATTAAGTGACTTGTCCCATCTCAGAGCTCATGGGTGACACAGTTAAATTTGATTCTGCATCTCCCTTGACTACAAAACCTGGGTTCTTTCTAGAACATCACATTGCTTCCCTAGAACATTAGCATTTGGAGGAAAATGTGCAGTACAGTAGCAGCAGAGCCAAAGGAAATAGAGGAAAATGGCTACTTTATTGCTTCCCCACTAGTGTACTGCTAAGAGAACTGCCAGTTTGTCCCCCACCCCACCTGACCGTTTTAGGTTTTCTTTTATCAATTCTTTAAAGTCAGCAGTATGCAATCATTACAGATGATGCCTAGGACAATTTGTTTGACATCTGTTCCCGTTATGTATTACTCCATAGCCAATCAACCCCAAACTCAGAGACTAAAGAGACAATTTATTATTGTCATTTACCCTTCTGAGAGCTCACTGGTCTGTACCAGGTGGTCTGCACTTAGAGGCACAGATGCTGGATGGGGCTGGAGTCATCAAAGCTTAGGCTGGGCTGGACACTCAAGATAGTGCACTCACATTGCTGGCTATTAGATAGGAGCTTGGGTAGGGCTGTTGACTGGAGTGCCTTCCCGTGCAGCCTCTCCATAAGACTTTCATAGAATGATGGGTTCCTAGAGCCAGCATCCCTGGAGAGGAGAAACATAAATTGCCAGTGCCTAGAACTGAAATACCATCACTTCTCTGTGCTATCCATCAAGGCAGCCCAGATTCAAGGGCTGGAAGCACAGACTCCATTCCTTGATGGGTAAGTAGCAGGTGCCTCCAAGGAGGGGAGAAACTGATGGTTTGAGAACATCTACAGCATCCAACACAGTTCACGACCTGTTCCTTGCTTACCTTACTTTGTACCTTTAGCCACTTCCCACTTGAACCTGATTCACCATCTACCTAGACTCCTCTCATTTTCCTGAATACACGAAGTGCTCAGGTCACACGTGTCTTTGTATATGTTTTTCTCTCTTAGAATGCCATCCCCCACCTTCTTACATAACCAAAGCTGTTCATTCTTATAGGCCCAGTTTGATTCTCAGGTCCCCAGAGATGCCTCCCCAACTCTGGTCAGGGTCTGTTGTCCCCTCTGAGGTCCAAGAGCGCTTGGTGCTTGGTTCCTCCTTGGTTCTTTCCTTACAAATTTTTGTTTTTGTTGTTAAACACCCTTCACTGTCGCACTAGACATTTCTAGGTCTGAGCAGTGTAATCATTTCCATCTGAATCTTTAATATCTAAACTCTAACATACATGTTGGTGGAATAGATAGAGTTAAAAACTCCCAAGCTACAAATCATGGAACCACTGCTTACCATGCATTTTCCCGTTACATTTCAAACAGTCTGTAATTCTATGCTACAGCGTAAAGTGACATTTATCCCTGTAGGTACGTAAGAGGGTAAGAGGTAGCAGAGATGGGTTTGTTCAGGTTTTTCAGAGGTCAAGTAAGCACAAAACAAACATTTTACACAACATTGGCTTAAGCCTAACTTCTATTAAGAAACCCCATGAGATTTGTCAGGCCCAGAATAATCCTAAGGGCAACCATCTATTAAATACACACTGTGTTGCAGGCACTTGCTAGGTGCTTTGCCTTGGTGGTCTCAAACTGCTTTGTAATAATCTCCAAAGCTCAGCAGGCTTTGACCACAAACCTTTTCTTTTTTCTCACTCATGGGACTGTGGGTCACCTGGGGCAACTCTATTTCAGGTCTGGCCCTCAGGTCCCTTTCTAGGACAGTGGATCCCCAGGGCATGCTCTTCTCTTGGCAGATTCTGCTCACGCTGCATCCATTGGCCAAAGCAAGTCACAAGGACAATCCAACATAAGTGGGGTGGGGAAATATACTTTACCACTTGTAGACTGCAATGACGGCGGGTATGAGTAAACAACTGAAAATCCAATCTACCACTGGCAGCCTACACAAAGGTGCCTGAAAAACTTCTAATCATTTGCCAACATTTAAAAACTGATGAATTTTCTATAAAAGTTAAAATTTCTTGCTTCTCTCAACAAATCGGATCTAACAACCATAGACTCAGACTTCTGAATCCCTGGATGGTAACAGTTGGCTGGCACCAGGTCATGGCTACCCTGCTTAGACACTCCAGCTCATCATCTCCACACCATTTTACTCACTCACTCTACCTGCCTGGCTTCTGTTGGCGGCTGCTCTATACATTACACCATACTCTCTACCCTTTAAAGCCGCATTTGGAAGTTGGCATTAAGGATCCATTTTACAGGTATGAAGACTGATGCTCAGACAAGTTAATTGACCTTGTTTATCACACAGCTCATAAGTGGCGAGGTGGGCTTTGAACTTGGGTGTCAGGGTCAAAGACTATACTCCTTTCAGCAAACCACACTGGTTTATAGGAGCCACAGTAGTGGTTACCTTCTGTCGGTTAGGTTAGGAATGGGACAAGCATGACCTCATTGAATCTTTGCAATATCTCTGTGAGTGAGGTAAGGTTATTTTCCCCATTTTGCAGATGGAACGTAGAGCAGTTAAAAAGTTTGCCCAAGGTCACAGAGCTCATAAATGACAGCATCGTGTCACCTCGACTCTGACCCACTTTTTTAGACTTACTGCCAGGTGCACAGTCTGTCAGTGGGGTGTTTGGAGGTGTTCTCTGGCCTGGGAGAGGGGTCCTGGCAACCACCTTTCTGCCATTCACTATGTATTTCAGGGGGTGACAAAGAGTTTGCCAGAGATCAAGACTTGCCACTTACGTGGTAACAGAACAAAACAGGGAGGCCCCCTTTTAGGGCCTTGAAATCTCGAGGACATCTGACAAGGGATTTATAAATAAGTGGCCCAATCCCTTTGGGAAATCCTTTCTCTCTCTCCATTTCTGTTTAACCCTGAGGTGAGCATTTAATGCAATAGAATAACACAACCCACAATGGTACTACATGGGGTGGGGCACAGTGAGAACAAGGCCAACAAGATCAATTATTTCCCTAAAGCAGGTTTGGCACCATCCTTGGGAAATTCATTTTATAATGGGATACCCCCTCCATCTTCCATAAAAAAATTGCTAGGCTATTTTTTTCTGATTGTTAAGAAATACATGTTCATTATAGATCATTTGAACAAATGGGGACAAGAAAAAAATAAAGTAATCCCCCTACACTGATATAACCTTTGCTGATATTCTGATACAAATCCTTCTGGTTTTTTCTTCTTGGCTCATATACATTGCAATGTTGGTAATATACAGACTAGATAATTACATATCCCGCCCTTTTCGTATAATATTGTAGCGAGCCACTTCATTAACTATTCTTTAAAAACATGATTTTAATTTCGACATAATGATCCACTAATTGAATATACCATAATATATTAAACCATTTATTTATAGCTGGTCAACTCCCTTTTTACGTCCATTAGAATTTCATAATCATTAATAATAAGCTGGTCAGAGGTTGATAAGAGTGTATTAAATTGAAATTCAGTTACTGGCTATTTGCCCTGTGCCCAACACCATGCTGGGCATTATAAGGGATACCTGTACCTGGTCCTACCCTCAAGGTGCTTACAGCTGGGGTAGAAGACAAGTGCATAAAATACTACCCAAGCATATGAGGCTGAGTGTACGCAAAGTGTCCGCAAACACCAGGAATAAAAGCTCCAGGAGTTTATAGATATGGAACTCACATTCATTGAGCCCTATTATGTCATGTGCTGCACCTCATTTAATTTTCACCACAACCAGGGATGCAAGCATTTTGTGTATGAACCTCACAAACCGAAAACAACAAGGTCAAGTTTGAATCAGCACATGACTCCAAGGTCTGTTCTTTCTGTGGTGAGCCATAGGAAATCCCTGGGAAGACACAAATGCTGTGATTGCGTGTTTGTGGGAATGATTTCACGACAGAGGGGATGATGCTTTGATACGTGTACGCACTTCTGAGTGTCTGGTTGCTT